AAGGGGCACCCAGATACTGTCCCCAACGTATGTGAATGAGTATGGAGTAAGCAGTGGAAAAACAGTTTTTGACAAGTTCTTAATTTACAAAAAGTCCCACAATGTAAATCTACTATCAGTCGCATTGTCCACACACATCCACCTCATTCACAAAGAATGACACCCACCAGAAGAAAAAAACAACCATAAAATATTTCCAAACCCATTCATTCCTGGTAAGCGGGTTTTGTCTTTCAGCTTATATCTTTCAGCATAATTGACGTAGATCAGTATTACTGGATGACATGATTGACAGTGGATTTAAATTGTGGGCATTTTTTTTTACATCAAATTACTTGTCAAAAACTTGGGGGCTTCCAGATTTCATTAGGCCCTCTGTCATTAGACTCCCACAATCACTGGACCAGAGTTGTAAGGAAGGGGCCATGTCCTCATGGCAAGGTACCCACCAATGCTGAGGGCATGGGGCCTGGTATGATTCAGGAGAGAGGGTGACCTAAAAGACCTAGTAGGAAATTTGGGGAGAGACAACATGCTGTTTTTGGTTTTTTTTTGGTTTTTTTGTTTTTTGTTTTTTTCGTGGAGTTCCACTTGAAATCCATACCAGACCTGAAGGGCCTGACATGAATTTTGAGGTGGACTGTCTGGATGACAACTGAATGTTCTCAGCAAGGGATGAGTCACTGATAGTTAGGATGCTGGCAGGTATTAACTCCCTAAAAAGCAGAAGCCCCAGACAGAAAACTTTCACATTTAGCAAAGATATTAATATCCCTGCTAAATGTTTCCCTCCCTGCTGCAGCTGGAGGTTCGGCTCAACCAAACACCAACCAAAGCTGCAGTTCATAAAAATGTAACGCAGTGCAGACATCGCACATTATTTCCCCTTCAGGTCGAATGTTCTTCTACCTAAAGTGTTAAGCTATTTTCTCTAATGGTTGAATGTTCTTTAGATCCTCTGGTTGAATATTCTTAAGGCTTTTTTTTCTTTTAGAATCTAATGTTGGTTTAATTTGCCCTGCGACAAGCCAAAGGCTGACATTTTACTAATATTTAAACCATTCTAGGTATTATTTGTGACTCACACACAAATGCTGAGACATTGTTAGAGCAATTTTCTATATATAGACCCTTAATTAATCTGTGCAATATGTGTGGAATTCTTCACTAAAATTATACACTTTAATTTTGATCGCATAATTGAAAATTGTTTACTTCCTTCCTTTGAAATTGCTGGCCTAATTTATTTTTAAATTTAACTACTGTATGTGCAAGGGAGCTACCACAGTCCATTACACAAAGGTCACTCAATGGCTGACCTATGGTGGTGCAGGGTGGACCTATAAGGTTGGGGTATAGGCTGGCACTGTACTTGCTTAAGCAGTAATAAACTGGGGCACATTAACATTATTCATGTGCTTGCAGCTGGAAACCCTTGGAGAACCTGTCACCAAACAAGAACTTACATGCAAGCTGTACAAATGATGGCATCAACAATGAAGTGTGAAAATACCATAGGCTATGTCCAGGTCAATTTCATATTTCATCTGAGTCCTATGCAGTCCTGGTATGCACAAGCACAGTGTGCTCTATCTTCCCTGTGTGGCTAGTTCGCTTATCACATGGAAACATATTGTATATTATAAAGTTCTTTTGATGGCTCTGTCTCTTGTTTTCCAATAAGCTTTCTTCAATAGGCAAGTATTGATTTTTGCTAAGACTGATACCATTTCACAGAAAGAGGCTCAGCAGCTTCTCAGGATTCCTCCTTCTGATCCTGCAGGGAGAATTGATTTTTCATTGTCTAAAAATTAGCCCTGTTCATATCGCTCCTTTTTTTTCTTCAAAGGGAAAAAAAAAACAAAAGCAAGAAAAACGATTAGTAATAAAACTGGTTTTACACATATGGCATCAGCTGTTTTTCTTGCAATTGCTTATGTAGATTGGGGAATTAAAAGATGAAACCCCATTTTCTCTTTTTCCAAATTTCATGGCTTTGTACAAATTGCTTTTCTTTTTTTGTTTACCATCCTGGTCACGTATTTCATCACAGTAATCTCAGTGGTGTTCTCTTTAGAAGGAATAGTCACGTCACATTTTTCTTGCTTAAAGAATTCTGAATTACTTCGCATTGGAAATTCTTTTATCTGATATTTGTTTAGGGATATTTGAAGCAAGGTGTCTGCGTCTTAATTTACCTTTAGTCAACCGCATCACTACAGCAAATACAATCAAAAAAGAATTGTGATCAGCCTCATTACTAGTTATGTTGTAAGGGAAATTTTTACATTCAAACTGCACCATATGGAGCCCATGATGAAGTTTAATTTAAACTTTTTTTTAACTGAGAAGAGCTTAGTTAAGTGTTACATAGGAAGGAAGGAAGGAATTTGCCTGGGTTTGAATCCCTGTGGGTTTGGGGAATCATGGGTGAAATTCAGTGAACTAGAAATCCTTCAGATGTCAATGGCTTGCAAATCTATAAAAAAGGGCATAGGAGCTGGGCACGTACCAATGAATTAAATAATTTTAAAACATACAGTACAGCTGGGAGGGGTTCTCTTTGTGCAGCTTTGAAGGGCAATTTAGAAAATAACACACTTTATATAACCGTACTTGGAGGATGCCTTAAAGCAATATTAAACGCAAAAGTAAACATTTATTATATTGCAGTGTACCATTTATTATATTGCGGGTTACAATTTCAGTTTGTTAGTGTATCTAAATCTGCCAGTACATCTTACACTTCTTTCCCTCTAGACAGGCAATGTCTAAAATTGTCTTTGTTGCTCTTTTAGCCACAATGTTAGTACTCTAATGCAGGAGGTGTGTTACTGGCTGGATCGCTAGGTGAAAACAGAGGGAAAAAGCCTAAAAAAAGAAAACGAATGCATCCACCATATCTAAGGATTAGTAAGCGGCAATATATCAAATTTTTAGTTGTGGATTTAATTCTTGTGCCTGGTGTTACTGAACCGTATGGTGGAGGGCTGTAGTGATGGTTGTTCTTTTGGAACTTTGATCCATTTTGACACAGGATCTCTGGAGCTTAGTCAGAGTGACCATCAGGTCCTTGTTAACCTAGAGATGGGCTGAATGTTCAAGTCGAACGTAAGTTTGACTCAAACATGGGTGGTTCTTGTGTTCGTTGAACACACGAACGGTATGGGCATTCAGTGGGCTTTTTGCCCGCTGTGCCCCACAACGCACTGCTTCCTGGCAGTGCATTGTGATTGGCCAGAGCATTGCACCTGAACACAGGTACTGGATACTCATTCATATGGGGTGGGGGTGGTGTGATTTGGGGGACCCCTTGTTAAAGGGAGCATCCATATTATAATAAACCCCTTGACCACAGACCCCCACAACCACCTGCCAGGATTGTGGGAAGAGTCTCTTGTCCCCATCAACATGGGAACAATTTCCTTTGGAGGGAACCCCCCTGCATCAAAGCACCCCCCCCCCCATGTTGAGGACCTGATATGGTTCAAGAGGGGGGTGCTCGCTCGTCTTCCCCCCTCTCCTGACCTGCTGGGCTGCATGCTCGGATAAGGGTCTGGTATGGATTTTAGGGGGGACCCCCATGCCATTTTGTTTAAAAATTTTGACGTGGGGGGTTCCCCTCACAATCAATACCAAACCTGAAGGGGTTGGTATGGATGAAAGGGGGGACCCCATGCTGTTTTTATTTTTAAATTGTCGGGCAATGCTGACAATTTGTTTTGACATTCAGCTGGTTGCAGGGAACCCCGCTGACAGCTGAAACATGAATGAATGTTTCAATATAAAATACCGCATGACTTCATAATATAACTTATGCGGCATTTTAGTAACCATGCAGTATCTTACCACATACTCAGATGTGCTCAGTAAATTGTCCCTGTACGAAGTTCGCAGTTGAACTGAACCAAACAGGGGGGTGTTCAGCCCATCACTATTAACCTCTCTTACTAAGGCTCTTCTCCTGCAATTGCTCATTTTAGCCTGGCGATCAGCTCTTGGTGCCAAACTTCTCCATTTGAGAATTATGGAGGCCACTGTGCTCTTAGGAACATTCAGTGCAGCAGAAATTTTTAGTAGCCTTCCCCAGATCTGTACTTTATAATAAACCTGCCTCTAATAAACCTGCAGGCAATTCATTCAACCTCATGGCTTTTGCTCTGATACAGTTTGCATTATCAGCTGTATAGTCTTTTGTAGAGAGGTGTGTGCCTTTCCAAATCATGTCTAATCAATTTATTTTACCTCAGGTGGACTCCAATCAAAGTGTAGAAACACCTCAGCAATGATCAAGAGATAGAGAGCTACATTTCAAGTGTTGTTGCAAAGGGTCTGAATACTTATGCCAATGTGATATTTGCAAACATTTCTAATTTTATTTTCACTATTGAGTGTAGATTAATGAAAAAAACTGCATTTAAACGACTGTAGTATCAGGCTGCAACATAACAAAACTGAAAAAATTATAGGGGGGGGGTATGAATTCTTACCTGTCCTTCGGTCCAGCGGTGTCCTCACCAGGCCATCTTCTCTCCCTGGCTCCGGCATCTTCAGTGTGGGCACTCGGCTGTCACAGTTTGCGGTTTCACAGCTGGGTGCCCACTGTGCATGCGCGAGAAGCGCTGCTCTTTGTGAATGGCCCCATAGTTTTCTGGGACATGTCACGTGTCCCAGAAGACTACGGGGAGGGAGGGAAGGGGGCAGGACAACTTCCGTTTCCATTCGCCTAGGTGCCAATCCTTAAGGGGGAGCTGGGGACAATGTCTTAAAGCGGAACTTCCCCTTTTGAGTGGAGCTCCTCTTTAATGAATGCGTTGTATTATCTTTCTACATGTTCTGGGATGGCACAACATATAATCAGGCCCTAGAGGGCAAGTAAATAATAAATACAGAGCAAAGTTTCTACTCTCCTCTGAACTGTGGAGGATATAATATCCTCCCGGTATGTTTGTTTTAAGGAGAACCCATGCTCAAAAGTAATCTAGGATGAAAACAGGCAATGGCTGTGTTCATATACTGTAGCTATGTATAAACTGAACAACAAAAAGATACACATCTACACTATATTGCCCAAAGTAGTGGGACGCCTCTCCAAATCATTGGATTCAGGTGTTCCAATCACCTCCATGGCCACAGGTGTAAAAAAATCAAGCATGTAGGCATGACGACTGCTTCTACAAACATTTGTGAAAGAATGTCTCTCTCAGGAGCTCAGTGAATTCAATCGTGGTAGTGTGATAGGTTGCCACCTGTGCAATAAGTCCATCTGTGAAATTTCCTTGCTACTAAATATTTCATGGTCAACTGTTACTTAACTGTTAGTGGTATTATAACAAAGTGGAAGCAACTGGGAACAACTTAGACACCTGCCTTTACACACATATGAACTTTAATGGCATCTCAGTCTTAGTCTATAGGGTTCAATATGCAGCTTTGTAGCTATAACAGCTTTAACTCTTCTGGGAAGGCTGTCCACAAGGTTTAGAAATGTGTCTATGGAAATGTTTGACCATTATTCCAGAAGAGCATTTGTGAGATCAGACACTGATGTCAGACGAGAAGGCCTGGCCCGCAGTCTTCGCTCTAATTCATCCGAAAGGTGTTCTATCAGGTTGAGGTCAGGACTCCACTCTAAGTTCCTCCACCCCAAACTCACTCATCCATGTCTTTATGGACCTTGCTTTGTGCACTGGTGTGCAGTCATGTTGGAACAGGAAGGGACCATTCCCAAACTGTTCCCACAAAGTTGGCAGCATAAAATTGTCCAAAATGTCTTGGTATGCTGACGCCTTAAGTGTTCCCTTCACTAGAATGAAGGGGTCAAGCCCAACCCCTGAAAAACACCCCAAACCCAAACCCTCCCTCTACCAAACTTTACAGCTGGCACAATGCAGTCAGGCAAGTACCGTTCTCCTGGCAATCTCAAAACTCAGACACATCCATCGGATTTTATACACCATGGCCATGAAGGTGATTGGAACACCTGAATCTAATGATGATTTGGAGTGGTGTCACAATACTTTTGGCAATATAGTGTATATGTACACTTATGTCACTTTATTAGGTACACCTGTTTAATTGCTTGGCAACATAAATTGCTAATCAGCCAATCACATGGCAGCAACTCAATGCATTTAGGCATCTAGACGTGGTGAAGAGGACTTGCTGAAGTTCAAACTTAGCATCAGAATGGGGAAGAAAGGGGATTTAAGTGACTGAACATGGCATGCTTGTTGGTGCCAGACAGGCTGGTCTGAGTGTTTCAAAAACTGCTGATCTACTGGGATTTTCACGCACAACCATCTCTAGGATTTCCAGAGAATGGTCCGAAAAAAAAAAAATATTCAGTGAGTGGCAATTGTGTGGACGAAAATGCCTTGTAGGATGTCAGAGGGGAATGGGCAGACTAGTTCGAGATGATAGAAAGGCAACAGTAACTCATGTCAATATGCACCATAATTTCTGAGGAAGGTTTCCAATACCTTACTGAATCTATGTCAAGAGGAATTAAGGCAGTTCTGAAAGCAAAAGGGGGTCCAACCTAGTACTAGCAAAGTGTAAATAATAAAGCAGCCAGTGTGTGTATATATGTGTGTGTATATGTATATATATATATATATATATATATATATATATATATATATATACACACACAGTATCTCACAGAAGTGAGTACACCCCTCACATTTTTGTAAATATTTTATTCTATCTTTTCATGTGACAACACTGAAGAAATGACACTCTGCTACAATGTAAAGTAATGAGTGTATAGTTTGTATAACAGTGTAAATTTGCTGTACTCACTTTTGTTGCCAGCGGTTTAGACATTAATGTGTGTTGAGTTATTTTGAGGGGACAGCAAATTTACACTGTTATACAAGCTGTACACTCACTACTTTACATTGTTGCAAAGCTTCATTTCTTCAGTGTTTTCACATGAAAAGATAGAATAAAATATTTACACAAATGTGAGGGTTGTACTCACTTCTGGGGGAGATACTGTGTATATATATATATATATATATATATATATATATATATATATATATATATATATATATATAAAAGAACGAATGTGTTAAACCATTAGGAAAAAAAAAGATTAGGAAAGATATATAAGTTCAATATGCACTTAAAGTGTTACTAACCCCAGGACCCTGCATTCACTATATCTGGTCTCCCACAGCACACACAACATGGAAGTGCAATTATTTTAGTAAATATAAACTGCTAAATACCTTTTCTCGTCAGCAGTTAGAGCAGTCTTGTGACTTCTATCAATGACCAGCAGAACACTGGTTAACGCTTGTAGGAGGAGTTTTCATTTTGCTCTAGGAGGATGCAGACCCCTGACCTCTGTCTGGACAGTGCTGATTGGTCCTGTGCTGATCACATGCACTCTCCCAAGAAAAAAAAAACCTCTCTAGCAATACTCACTAAAATGAGCATGTGCAGAGTGTGGAAGAAGGGGAGGATCAGAAAAGTCAGAATCAAGCAGCATTTTTACACAATACAGAGGATTAACCTCTTCGATTCCACAGCAAGTATAACAAGCATTAGACGTGCAATATTAAAAAATTGTTTTGCTTCCATTCAAAATTCATTCAATTAGTTTTCAGGATTTGTGTCGGTAATTCATTTTCGAATTTAATTCAAAAACATTTCAACTAAATTTGAAAAGTCATTCACATTCAAAATTGGTAAAACTGAATTCAAAATTGATTCAACAAAATTCAAAAAGTATTTTGAAATCGAAAAGATTTCAACCAAATTCAAAAAGTTAAGCTGGTCATACACATGTAGATTTTTGTCGGAGAATATTAGTTTCAGGAATATTAATTTGATTTTTCAACCATTAGTGGGGTCAAACTGATGTTTGTTTTTGACAGCAGTGATGGACAAATTTGAAGGAGCAGGACGGAAAACTTTTCTCCATCAAAAGAATTTTCGGCCAGTGTATGTGGTTATCGATCAGAAATTACATTTGTTTTAAAATTGAATGCTAAAAGCTAAGGAAAAATTTCAAACAACATTCCTTCCATCGAATGTGCAAAGAATTTTCATACACTTTTCTTGCGACTATTCTCGGCTGAAAATCTACATGTATATGGCCAACTTAAATCAGGGGAACAAAAATTTGAATTTCGAATACAATTGAAATCGTTTTAGAAATTGGTCGAAATTGTTTCAAATTTGAATAAGGCTAGCCATACACGTGTAGATTTTCGGCTGAGAATATTAATTTCAAGAATATTTGTTTGGTTTTCTAATCAGTAGTGGGATCAAATGAATGTTCATTTTCAACAGCAGTGATAGAAAAATTCGAAGGGGCAAGAAGAAAAACTGTAGCTGCTGACTTTTAAAAAATGGACACTTACCTGTCCCTCGATCCTGCGGTGTCCTCCCTGCAGCCCGTTTCACCAACCGCCCTGTGTTCACAGAGCCGGCATCTTCAGTGTCACCTGGTTGTGACAGCTTGTGGCTTCACAGCCAGGTCCTCACTGACCATGTGCGAGTAGAGCTGCACTTTCTGAATGGTCCTCTAGTCTTCTGGGACCTGTCACATGTCCCAGAAGACTAGGGGGAGGGGGGTGGACAAATTCCACTTTCAATTGCCTGAGGCGATCTCAGCAGAAGTGGGAGCGGGTACCTGTCAATTTTGGGTACCTGCCCCCCCCCCCCCCCACACACACACACACTCCCCAAAGGTGCCAATCCTTAACGGGGAGTGGGGGACCAGTCCTTAAAGTGGAACTTCCCCTTTTGGGTGGAGATCCACTTTACATTTATTTTCAAAGGTTTGTTCGATTTTGTTCTCAATTTCGAATTTGTTTTCGAATAGCATTTCAACCTAAATTAATTTAGTTATTTCGGATTCATTTAAATGCGTTATTTTTGTAATCCTGATATGTCCGAATAACGAAAACATTTGTCCAAAATTCGATTCGAAACAGAACAAACCGCACATGGCTAACAAGCATGCTTTACTGTATATACAGACTGACTTTACTGTTGTGGGTTTAGTAACACTTTCATTATATCTTCCATTGCTTCACAGACTCAAGTCTCTCCTTTCTTTGCTTGGTAATGTGGCATTGATAAAAATGTTACCTGATAAAATTGCTGTACTATTTTCGAATACTCCCTGTGCCTATTCCTTCATATATGCTGGACTCTTTACTCTCTTGGTCCCAATCAGTCTATTCTTGCCCTATATAAATTGGCAGGTGGATTGGGACTTCCCAATCTGATTATACAACTTGCTCAAATGCCAAACTAAACTACTAAAGTCCCAATATGTGCCATGGAATGTGACCCAGTTCTTTAACTATGGCTTACATGGCTCAATCCTGCGGATTGGCCCCGTTTCACTAACCCAAATGTGAAGCACACCATGCATGTCTGGGACGCAGTTAATTTCTCTGAGAACTGAAAATCTTTGAGTAAACCCTTGATGACCATAACCCATAATCCTGCTTTCTTACCCTCCTTCCAGAATCTGGCTAGTGTCTGAATTTGGGAAATGACAAAGAGCAACACAGTTGTATAAGTTAATCATTTCAACTGTTCTTAAATGTTTCTCATCATTGCAGAAAGGGATGAAGTGTCCTGGTACAAAACTGTTCTGGCATCTTCACTTCCTGAGAAGTGATGTGAAACTTCTGGATGGGCCACTTCTCCTAACTGTTTGAGCAAAGGTGTTCCAATGACCAACACTTGCTTGGCCTTATATCCCTGCGCTATACTCCACTATTGACACGTACCTGCCTACAAGAGTGGGCCTCAGATATATTTATAGAAATAACTGATGACAATAGACTCATATCTGGGACAACATACAAGCCAGCTTGTGTTACTTATTAGCTATTGAGACATATTTTAAGGTGGTTTATGGTACAAAAGTGTTCTGTGAATTAAGCAAGTAGCTTGGGCGCTTCCCAAATACGCAGTTTTGAACATTCAACCACCCGACCTTCACAAGGTACAATTCCACAAAGTAATGATCTATGTTCTCCCTGAAGCCAAGCAAACAATCAGAAAAGTGTTCAAGCCAGTTGCTCTCTCCATTGCCAAGACCAAATTTAGAGTTACTTAGATCTTGACGCATGGAAAAATGGAACCTAAAGTCTCTGAAT